CACCATGGAGGTGAGGCCCTCCATGGGGGTGTCCATAGTCTGTCATTTCATATAGGGCAGGGCCTAGACCCTTCCCCAAGAGTTCAGGGTGAGAGTGCACCTCACATTGTTCTATGGGAGTCCAAGGTCTGTGTGTATACTTGGGATGGGTACTGATCTACTGCCCAAGGCTCAATAGATTCCCTAGGCCTCCTCACTGACACTCAGATTCAGGGGGTCTTGATCAGTCCCATGCTGGATTCCCAGGCTGATGGCTGGGATTCAAGAGTTAACCTTTGTCTGGTCAGCTGTTTCTGGGGGTTAAACCAGGCCAGTCTTAATCCCTTTGATCATCAGTCCTCCCTCTCTGTTACTGGCTTTCTTGAGTTCAGCTCAGTACTTAACCAGCCACTAAATGAAGTTTCTGTTTTCCAGTCTCTCTGTTCCTTTTTTATTGGTTTACTTAGAGTTGTATAGATTGGTTTTATTTGTGAACTAATTCATTACTTTTATTTTCAGCAATATGTGTTACAATGTTTTAAATATTATGTTTTTTGTTGGTATCATTTGTTTCTAGGAAATTTTATACATGCATATATTGCATTATTATTGGTTTCACTCATACCATGGTTTTTCTATACACCCTACAATTACATTTTCCATATTTATAATTTTTTGACCCCTGAGTTTAACTACTATGTCCCTTTGATTTCTTTTTTACTTTGTATTTATCTCCTTGAGTTTACTGGGATTTCCAATGGATACATAAATAAAGACATTGGCTTTAACTCTCCAAGATTATTTTAGTAGCCAGTAGTTTTTCCTGACTTCCTAATGAACTATTCTCTATATAACATTCTATCGTAAACAGTCTGTTGTCACTTTCTCATGTACCCAAAAGTGTGATATTCTTTCCCATACTTCATAGCCCATGAAATATCCTGGCTACCTGCTTTCCCAAGTACATGGTTACTTGGCATTGCTACTAAACATTCTTGAATGGTATGTTCAAAACTAAGCCTGGAAAATTTTCTTTCAGGAACCTAAACTTCTCCAACTCATGCAATTCCCTCTTACAGTTTCTCATTCTCGTATAGCCCTACTATATATATCATGCTCTCTCTTCTGTCTTCCTACCTTGGTCCCCTCTCTTGCACCTCTCTTTTGGCATCCTACCCCCCCACCACATAGTCTGATTAGTCAACTGATATTATTTATTCTACCACTTTCTTTTCCTACTATAGATTTTTCCCATTGTCTCTGACTGTAATTTTCCTTAATCTACAAAAAGAATACCTTTATCTAAACCATGAAAACAAAAGTTGCTTCCAAAGATATTGTTCAGGCAGGCCTGTAGACTGGTACTGGGTCACTTTTTCTTCACACAGAACATGCCTAGGCAAGACTAGAATTCACTAGCCATGTCATTTGTGGAGGTATGGAATGTTTTGCACAGTGCTCAGGTCAAACCCCTGGATGTATTTTCTTTAGAAAAGGAAAGGAAATGGATAGGCCCATTCTATTTTATGCATGGTGCAGACCACCCAGCTTGGGCAGATGGAGCCATGGTCCTCTGTGGATTGTGATTCGGGGCAGGAGATCTGTTTCACTAAGAAAGATGTTGGGGCCATCAGCAAGCTGAACTCAAAACCCAAATTCTTCATTTGTTGGGAAAACCTTATACATGCCATGCCTGGAACACCCTGGACCTGTAGCAAGTAGTTATGTCCTTTGATCAAGACATTCCACTGGTGCTGGTCAGTGGTAACCATGACTTGGACAATGTTCCCAGAGCTGAGACAGTGGGAACATTCTGCCAGATGTGTGAATATGAAGTGTGGGCTTCCTGTTCATCTTGCCCAATTCTTAGTTTTTCTATGATGCCCTGCAGTGAAGCACACCAAGGAACACTGCTGTGACCAGAAGCTAAGCGTAGGAGAGAAGCAGAGGTTCCAGCAAGCCATTGTCTTCCAGCATATCCTACACTTCTTGAAGAGTATTGAAGACTATGAGCACTACTTCAATCTCATTAATGCTGTCAAAAAGGATTTACTACAAGAGCTCAATAAAGGAGGTATCAGAGTCATGTTCTTGGGTCACTATCACAGGAATGGTGGGGATACATAGCAGTATCTTGATATGATTGTTTCATCTGCAGTTCAATTCCAGGGAAACACACCCATGGCCTCTCTCTGGTGGTTATCACTACTGAGAAAATTGTTTACTATTACTATACCTTAGATGAGCTGAGTGAAAGAGGGATTTATGACAACCTGAAGGAGCAGATGAAGAAGTGATTTCTCATGAAGTTTTATGCACAAGACCTTTCATCATGCCAGAATTTTCACAGCAGGTTTTGAATGGATTTACATTTACTTAAATCAATGTGCTACATCTTATCCTTAATTATATTCAAAGAGGTACACTCACCCTGGATTCTAGGTGAGGGACTAGTCCCTGACATGAATGAAATTTCAGACTATGGACAGGCTCACCCTCCCTGGGGAAATGAGAGGGTGTTGGGGGGTTTGGTGGGAGGAGGGGTGGAAAAGGCAGAGGGATGTGGGATAGACATGTGAAGCAACTTTGTTTCTAATTTAAATTAAAAATAAAATTAAAATACAATAAAAAAGAGGTCTGTCTTCACTTTAAAATGTCAGAAGGGATGGCTGTTGACATTTCCTGAACTATGTTATGATACTTTCCACATGACGTTTGTGTAAATTCTCTTTATTTTGCAGCTTTCAGCTCTGCCCTTGAATCCCAGTATATCTGAAAGCTTATATTCCATATCTACATCCTCCCTTCTATTCCAGCTCAGCACCCAAATGTAATCATCAGTAATTCCTCAGCACAAACTGCATCTGCTTTTCTTAAATTGTGGTCATGAATCACAGAATGCTGGGAAAACAAAGGTCCCTCTTCCCTTCTTGGTATACCAAATAATGCAACTCCTTTCCAGGGCCACCTAAATTCATCACAGCAGAGACTTTCATGGCCACCACTAGCTGAGAAGTTCTAGATTTTTGTTACTGTTGATGGTATGAACACAGGTGCTACTAATGATGGCATGTTTCCCTCTCTGATGACAAATGTCACACTCATGTCCAGACTCTGTTCCAGTTGACTAGAACAGAAACTACAGCAGGAAGGCCCTGTATGTGTTTGCACTGTTTATATTCTCCTGTTTCAGGCAATTCATAGCATTATGAGATCACAATGAACCTGTTGAGAAAAATAAACTTAATGTAAACTTCTTCCAAGAATTACACAGAACTGTCACTGTGCAGAATATACCGTGTTCATTGCCACAGATGTATACCACCCCTGAACAATAAAATCCAGTGTGAGTTGCTTTAAATACTTTTACCTGTGGAATCCATTCTGCTGCCTCCTCTGGGTGCCATGACCTCTGTGTATCTTCCTCATGTATTTTCTGATATCATGCTAAAGTAAACCTTTATATCGTGCTGAAGAAATGTTGCTTTTTTACAGAGGCATGGGGCAATGACAAAGCAACTTTAAAAACTCACTGATCAAAAATGAACTGCAATAGACTATTAAATTAAAAAAATCCTCATTAAAAAGATTGTGTCACTTAGTAAAACCTTGAGAAATTAAATACAAAGGAAACTGAATATCAATATTTATATAGATAAGATGCAAGAAGTTAATTATGTTAGAGATTGGTGACACACTCGATCACATTGTTAGGTAGCACAAGAAAATCAAATTTACTGTGATGAAAGACCTGATCAAATTTTGGAAAGAAAAAGTATATTTATCATATGCTTTCACATCACTTCATGTCATCAAAAAAGAGAGGACAGGAACTCTAACATAGCAGAAGCTTGATGGAAGGAAGTAATATAGAGGACATCTGTAGGGTTTACTCCTTATGACGTACTCAGTCTGCTTACTTATAGAATCTAGGATCACTTGTTCTGATGTGGTTTTATGACAATAATAGACTCCTGCATCAATTAGTAAACAAGAAAATTATCTATAGAATTGTATACAGAATTATATTATGAAGATATGTTCTCAATTGAGATTTCCTCCTGTCAGAGGGCTTCAGTTTGTATCTAGTTGACATAAGGCTAACTACCCTGGTGTGAACCTAGAAGAGATAAAATGTGGAACTTTCAGGTTTGTGGATCAGAGTTATTTCAAGGATGAACTTTGTGTGCATAACCTCTGTTTTTGACAGGGAAGAGCTAAAGTAACAATGATCATCAATGGTCATCACTTAGTGTTGTAGATACTGACCTGGGAACATTTTAGTGTTCTTTAAGATAGATATATGCCAGAGTCTTTAAAAGGCAGAGAACAAGTAAGTTGCCCAAATTTACTGAGTGAAAGGGACCTTGAGAAATAGAGGACAACTATCATGTGAGGGTGACAACACTTAATTATGACACTCAGTGTCTAGGCCCTTTCCTGTATATCATCAACCTATGCTTATCAAAGGGTATTTTTCTATGTCCTTAATTTAACATACAACTATAAATGTATACATATATACTGACTGACCTTTCTTTGTTCCCTTCTGTGCATCTAACTTTCAGTCAAATTCATATCAGCCATTGCTTGTCCTGATGATTTGTCACATAAAAACCCCAAGAATAAAAAAGAAACACTTTGCCTTCAACTTATTGAAGTTTCAAAAGAATTAAATCTCTAACTGATCATCTTATACTCCAAGTTAGAATGAAAAGTATAAATTTTATCCATGCATTAAGGTAAGAACACAAAACTAAACAAGGTCAAACAAAACAACTCTATTTAAAGGGTACTAAGCTGTAGTCCTGTAGTCCCAAGAGGAGAATGATTTCTATGCAGGAAGTGTGTGTCTCTCAGAACTTGTGGCTCTTGCCTATAGACTGAGACTTCCTGTTTCTGATCTAAGCAAACACTGCAGCTGTTCTTTGGCATGATAAACCTTGCTCATTTGCATGAGCCCAGAGTACATGGCCCTTAAGTGACAAAGTCTTAGGGACTGCTCACAGTCCCTGCAGGAGTCAGTCCCAGTCAGGACAAATCATGGCCATGAAGTCTCCTACTAAGGCCCTGACAATTTGGCTACTTTGGCTCTCAGGTAAGTTGGGCAAGATAGAAATTTTTTCCAGCCCAGAGTATCAATGACTTCCATTCTAATTGGAAGATGTCAACTACAACATTATTAATTATGTTAATTTTTTATTGTTTTTTTGCTGTCAGGTGCCATATGTGATATTCAAGTGACACAATCTCCATCCCACCTCTCAGCATCTCTAGGAGACAAAGTAACTATTACTTGTCTTGCAAGTCAGGACATTAGCAATGACATGAGCTGGTACCAGCAGAAATCAGGACAACCTCCTACACTCTTGATCTATTATGGAAAAAGTTTGCAATCTGGTGTCCCATCAAGGTTCAGTGGCCAATACTCTGGCAGAAGATTTGATCTAAGCATCAGCAGCCTGGAGTCTGAAGATTCTGCAACTTATTATTGTCTACAGGATTACAGTACTCCTCACACAGTGATACAAGTCATGACATAAACCACTGAAGGAAGCAGAAGTTGGAGGCTATGCTTTCCCAGCTGCCATTTCTTATATGTTTATGTGTTCAGACTCAGACTATTTGTATATTAAGAAATAGTTTGCTTAAAATACCCAGATATCTGAATATTAATCCTTCTCTCTGTGGTCTTCTGCCAGCATTTTGTGTACATCTATTACAACAGAGGTATGAAAATGCCTAATCATGCCCTCCTTGGAGAGGTCTGAGATGTTCAAGGAGACACGAATGGTGTTTCAATCTGCATGTGACAACCATAGGAGTGGCTCAACCCTTGTCTCATATGGTTTATCACAGATGCTAATGGATGGTGAAAATAATATTTGACTTCAAATTTAAGGGAGGATCCCTATTTAGCAACTCTACAGGAAACAAAAGAAAGATGAATATTAACAGACAATTCATTTAGAGAATTACTCCAAAGGCATTTCCAGAGATGGTCAGACCATGTGAAATCTGCCATAATTAATGGAGTAGTGCCTTAATTATTTTATTACATGAAGGTATCATGAAGAGTTGATGAAATGTGAAAGAGTAGTTTTGGGTAGAACATCATTCTTCTAAATTGGCTTTTATTCTTGGGAAATGTATCTTATCTGACTGCGCTCCATGCTTCTTATATCTCATGTGTTTAATAGCTTCTACAATCTGGTTGCACCATCATAATATTCTACCTCACAGAGTCTAAATTAACAGAACCAATGTGAACTGAAATATCTAAAGTGATGGTTTTGGTCACATTTTTGAAAACATGGAGGATATAATATACATTTGTGCTCTTCTCTCCATTTCGTTCTGAAAATAACCATAAAAACATGATTGTTTTTGTTTATTTGATTCATTAAGGATATAAATATTCAAAAGATTGTCATTCATAATTCTGCTACTGTGATTTGATTTCTTCCTTATGATTTATCTGCAATTTATTAAATATTCTTCACAGGGGGCACCAAAATAGTTCCATTAACACATTAAACAATTCAGACAGCATTCATATTGCAGTAATGACACATTAAGGAATGAAAACAGAAGTTCCATCTTTGATCCAAGCACTTGTCAGACATATCAGTCCAAGACAACTGTATAATTTTCTCTCCTTGAACGAATATATGTTGATATATAGCACTTTAAAGACAACAGAATCCAGAAAACTCTCTTCTGACCATCTGGTAAGTGAGCCAGAGAATGCAGACATATTTCATAATACTAAAGCAATATGCAAAAACATGCAAGTACATCGTCATGTGACAACAGTGATAAGCTTAAAATGAAATTTTAAAAAATCAATAGATTTCAGAAAAAAGGGGAGAGGCAAAGTTTAGAGGAAGGAGACTTAAATATATTTAAGTTTTATTATACCTTGTTCTAGTTATGTTTCTGTTCATGTAATAAAATACTGAACAAAACCATTTGTGAGAGGAGAGATTTATTTGTTTTACCTGTCTTGATTGTAATCCATTATTGAGGGACATTAAGGCAGTAAATCAAGCAGGAAACTGGAGATAGGAATGGATGCTGCTCTATGGTTTCTCCTCATGGCTCAGTACTAAAAGCTTGCTCCGTTACATTTCCTTATATATTCCAGGGTGATCTGCCTAAGAATGGTACCCACATCAATCATCCATTAAGAAAATATCCCACAGACTTGCTCATAGGCCAATATAATGGAAGCACTTTCTTTAGCTTAGGCTATTTTTTCCTGGATGAGCCCAGCTTGTGTTAAATTAATAAAAAATCCAACACGTACCTATATCCTATATAAAAATGTATGTACTAAATTTTGGGATTTAAAATTCAATGCAATTTCTATCAAAATAAAAATGACACTATTCACAGGAATGCTAAATCAATCTAAAATAATATACAATGACAAACTGCTTGTACAAAGAATTTTTGACTAAAAAATCAAGCCAAGAGACCTAGTGTACTTTACCTTTGAACATACTGCAAAACTGTAGTAGTAGTCGACTTCTGCTTACCTTTTGCGACGTACGGGCCTGGGGACTGTGGGCAGGCCTATTTCCTCCCAGCGATCAAGCTACCTAAAATATGCTGACATCTTCTTGCAAGTCCCAACGCCACCCACCTGAAGAGGGAGTGTCTCAGGCCTGCCTGAACCTATGGTGAGACCCATTGGAATACTGGACCTGCTTGCACCAACCTAAAAAGAACTCTGGACCCTGTGTCCAGCAGGACAGGAAGAGACCCAACCTGCATGCAATGGAAGAAGGGATGGGAAGTCAATATATAAGAACATATTCAACAACAGAAAACTATTATGACACCAACAGAGTGTCGGGACTCTACACCAGCAAGACCTGAAGACCCAAGCACAGATGAAGCATAAGACCTTCATGAAGAGGATAGAGACCCTAAAATGATGAAATGAGAAAAATTTTTTAAAGAAATGGAATGAAAAAAACAAGAAATGGAGAAAAAGCAAACCAAAAATACAAAATATAAAAAAATCTTTGTTTTCCTAGTTTCTGCTTTATTAATTTCAGTTTTCAATTTGATTATTTCCTGCTGTGTACTCCTCATGGGTGAGTTTGCTTCTTTGTGTTCTAGAGATTTCAGCTGTGCTGTTAGTTCTCTAGTGTAACTATTCACCAGTTTCTTCATGTGGGCACTGCTTTCAAGGTGTCCTATAAGTTTGGTGTCTTCATTCTCATTGAATTCTAGAAATTATTTAATTTCTTCTTTGACCCAGGCATGGTGCAATAGTGCATTATTCAATTTCCATAAGTTTGTAGGGTTCCTGCATTTATGTTGTTGTTGAACTCTAACTTTAAAGCATGGTGGTCTGATAAAATACATGGAGTTATTCCAACTGTTTTGTACCTGGTGAGGTTTTCTATGTTGCCAAGTATATGGTCAATTTTTCAGAAGGTTCCATGTGGCACTGAGAAGTAGGTATTTTCTTTTGTGTTTGGATATAATGTTCTATAGATGTCTATCAAACCCAATTGGTTTATAGCCTCTATAAGTTCCTTTGTTTCTTTGTTAAGTTTCTGTCCTGTAGTCCTGTCTAGTGGTGACAGTGGGGTGTTGACGTCTTCCACTATTAGTGAGTGATGTTTTATGTGTGGTTTGAGTTTTAGTAATGCATATTTTATGAATGTGGATGCCATTGTATTGGGGACATAGATGTTCAGAATCGAGACTTCATCTTCTATACCTGTTATTCGTAGCAAGTTTGGCCTTTTCACAGTGTGCCATATTTCCTAGATATTTTTTGTTAGTGATTTCTTGGATTTCAGATTTTCTTTGATTGATGAGTCTATTTCTCCTAGTGTGACTTCAAAACCTGAGATTCTGTCTCTTGTATTCTGTTGGTTGTGCTTGCATCTTTAGTACCTGTCCATTTCCTCAGTTTTTGATTTCCAGTATTCCTACAGACTGTGTTTTTTTATTGTCTTCATGTCAGCTTTCAATCCTTGCATTGTTTGAATTGTTTCTTGTAATTTTTGCTTTGTGTTTTCCTCTCTTTCTTCCATTTGTTTGAATTTTTGTTAGTTTTTTCTTCTATTTCTTGTATTTTTTGGTTAGTTTTTCTTCCATTTCTTTAACGGATTTTCTCACATCCTCTTTTAGGGCCTCTATCTCACTAAGGCGTTTTTAATGTCATTCCTTTCTGCTTTGTCCACATTGGGGTGTACAGGTCTTACTGGTGAAGAATCTCTAGTCTCTGGTGGTGTCATATTTGTTTTTCTGTTGCTGAGTATCTTCTTATATTTCCTTTTCTCCATCACTTCTTCCAGTGTGTGTAGCAAGTGTTTCTTCCTCTCCTTGTGGGTAGGCGATCAGAGTTCCCTTTCAGTGGGTGCAAGCAAATTAAATACTCTCTGGCCTCTGCCTTGAGTGTGAGCAGAATTGAACCAGCTCTCTCTCAGTCTCCTGGTCACTTGGTCGTCCTGGGTCCTGTCCCCAAGCCAGGTGATCCAAAAGAGTGAGCAGAAGGAAATCAGGTCTAAGATAAGAAGCAGGTCCTCACCTCTTGCCTCTTCCCTGAGTGTGAGCAGAGGTGACCCAACTCTCTCTGCAGACTCCTGGTCACTTAGTTGTCTGTCCTGGGGCAGTAGACCTGGCTGCAGTCCCCAAGCTGTGGGTTCCAAGAGAGGGTAAGTGTGCTCATCTCTGCCCTCTTCCCTGGGTTTGGGCAGAAGTCTGATCTTTCTTTTGTTCATGTAATTGCTATGAGAATTTGCTAAAAAGTAATGTCCTCCAATCCTGTTTTGGCCCTTTTATAAAAACAAAATAATTTAGAATATAGGAAACAATTAACCATATTGATAAACATCATATGCATGGAGACACTAGGGATAACAGACACTTGCTTTGTGATGGTGCTTGTATTAGTATGTCTGTGTCAGATAGGTAGTACATATAAGTGAAATCGTCAATTGATATTAAATCTGAACACATCACAGTTAAATGAGTAGTTGAAATATTCAAAGATTAGAAGTGTAATTGAAATCAATTCATGTTAGTCATTGCACATGATTAGCAGTGATCTTTCCTCTTCACAGCTCTGTAAATATATTTTATATCGATATCTTTTGAGATTTTTATGAAAGGTCAATAATCCCTATTTATGAGTATAGCATAACCAGGTTTATGATCTACATTAAAAATTACTACAATGGATGTCATTGTATGCTTGAAAAATTTGTCCTCTCCACCCTCAAGATTCATTTGTGGACAAAACTCACCTCAGACTTGTTGGGGAGTATCTTTACCAATACTGACAGAATATTGGCATACATCTTCTAGATTTGTGATGGTGTATTTAATGATAACATAAAATATATTCTATGAACATGGGAATAATATGGTGTGAAAAAGGCAAGATAATCCTCATGAATTGGTAAATTGTGGTCCAAAGATTAAATTTTGTCTAGCACTTGCTTTTGGAAATAAAGATTTATCAGAATACACCAATACATCATTCCTGACATGACATGAGGACTTAACACCGCGC